CCACTTCAGACCCCCCCCCGGCCGCTTCCAAGCTGCAGGCGCTGCTGCCAGAGCCGGTGCCGCCAGAGTGCGTGGAGCAGCGGCTGCGGTTCGCCGTCCGCGTCAGCTGGCGCCGCGGCGGCGAGCAGGGCCCCGCGGCGGAGGGCTGCGACAGCGGCACGCCGCGGGGCGCGGCCGCGCTGCAGCCGCTGCTGCGGCGAGAGTCCACCGGGGTGCAGGCCGCGGGCGCCGCGGGCGCGGCGGGCGAGGCCGCGACGGTGGTGGCGCTGCTGCGCAGTCTGCGGCGGCTGCTGCCGGGCTCGGCGGGCTCGGGCAAGGGCATCGTGTGGGAGAACGCGCACCTCGGCAGGAAGCTGGCGCACCAGCTGAGCCAGCCGCTGCTCACGGTCGGGCGGGTGGCGCCCGCGTGGGTCGAGGCACTGCCGCTGGCCTATCCGTTCCTCTTCGAGCGGAGGCTCCGGGAGCAGCTGCTCCACAGCGTCGGTTGCGGCGACTCGCACGCGGTGATGTGGCTGCAGGGCCAGGCCGTGGAGGCGCGGTACGGAGAGCGCCTCCGGACCGCCCGCGAAAGGCTCGCGCGTTCGGGTAACTACGCGGAGGTGCTGGAGATCCACGAGCGGGCTGCCAGCGACGACGCGGTCTTCGTGGGCGCGGGGCGCAGCGAGCTCGCCAGGTTCCCGTCGCGCGAGCGGCTGTTCGAACTGGCGGAGCGTGTAGTGGAGCTCACCTACGCCAGCCCGGCCATGCTGGAGGTTGTTTTCGACGGCGAGACGGGGTTCGGCGACGGCGTGACGCAGATGTTCTACACGGACGTCGCAGCAGAGTGGGCCGCGGCGGGCGGTCCCGCGGCCGCGCTCTGGGTGGAGCACTCCCCCGAGAGCTACGTGGAGCGTGGAGGCCGTAGGTTCATGCACTCTTGCAGGGGACTCTTCCCCCGGCCGCACCGCGCCGGCAGCGCCGCCTCGCAGGAGGCGTGCAGGCAGTTCAGGTTCCTCGGCAGACTGATGGCGAAGGCGCTTCGCGACGGCTTCATCGTCCCCTGCACCCTCGACGTGTGGTTCTTTGAGGCTGTGCTCGGGGAGGAGTTACCCCTCGCCGCCCTGCCGCGGCCGGGCGACGGCTGGGCTGGTGAGTTTGTGGGCGCGGCTGCGCAGTTTGCGCTCGACCTCCGCAAGAGATGTGCCGACTGCGCCTCCGAGGACGAGTCCAGGAGGGCGCGTGCCGAGGAGGCCGCCTCGCCGGGCTGGGCGGGCCGCTACCTGGGGCGGCAGGGCAAAGCTGGTGAGCAGGCGTTCGCCGAGTACGCGGAGCTCTGTGCCTTCCAGGAGACCGGCCTGAGCGGCCCCGAGCTTGGCGAGGGTGGCGCAGAGCGCCAGCTCACCATCGACAACCTGGAGGAGTTCGTCGAGCGTGCTGCACACTGGTGGCTGAAGGATGGCATCGCGGCACAGGTGGAGGCGTTCCGTCACGGCGTCGAGGACGTTTGCGACTCGCACCGCGCAGTGTGGGCGTTCGAGGCCGAGGAGCTGCGGGCCCTCTTCTGCGGCGACGCGTGCGCGGATTGGACGGAGATGGAGCTCTCCGAAGCCCTGCGGCCCCGCGGCGGCTACCGAACCGACAGCCGCGAGATCAGGATGCTCATCGAGGAGCTGATTAAGCTGACGCCCGCGCGCCGTGGGCTCTTCCTGGAGTTCGTGACGGCTGCACCTCGCCTTCCACCCGGCGGCCTGAGAGCCGCGGAGATCGTCGTCGTGCCGGCCCAGCCGCAGGGCAGCCTGCCCCGCGCTCACACGTGCACCAACGAGCTGCAGTTGCCGTCGTTTGCTAGCGCCGAGGACTTGTCGAGGTGCCTCGCCGAGGCGATGGACTGTGCTCAGGGCATGTATGAGCGATAGCACTGACCATTGCTTGCGCTCCATGTAGATAGGTCGGATCAAGCAACGGAATACTGTGTTGCAGTTCGTGGCCAGCATGGTCTTATTTAAGCGCTTAGATTTGAAAGTAGCTGTTGTCATGGAGCCCACATGAGGTAGCTGACTAGCTGACTAAACTCGTCCTCCCCCTGCTCTCCATCGTACTGCTACTGCTCCAACTATTGATCCTCTTCACATGCTTGTTCGACCTTCTCCCCAGGGCCTGAGGCAGAGCAGTGTGAAAGATCAGAGTGAGGGACTCCTACTAACGCGAATCCGCTTGATATCGGCCATCGGATACATGTTGGCATGGTCGGGGCGCATGTTTGCAGTCACCTGCTTCTCATCGCTCCTCCTCCCTAGCTTTCCGCCAGGGCCCCCGTCGCGCTAGACCCGGCAGGTGAGGCCCATTGAGGGGGTACGGGGTCAAGGGCCCTGGGGAGGGCCCCAAGGGCTGGGGCCCCGGCCGGCTCGGCGCAGGTTCTGAAGAACCGATGTGCTCTCGGAAGGCGGCGCATGGCGTGGGGGAGGCCTCCTGCTCCTCCTCCTCCTCCTCCTCCTCCTACTCCTCCTCTTCCTCCTCCTGCTCCTCCTCCTCCTCCTCCTCCTCCTCCTCCTCGTCGTCGGAGGTCGCTTTCCCTTTCGCTGGCGTGGGGGAGGCCTCCTGCGCGAGGGGGCTCTCATCGTGCTCCGTGCTCTGCTCGTGCTGCGGAGGCCGGCCGCGGCCTTGGAGGCCTCCGCGGGAGGGGGCCCGCAGACCTTCAGAGCCCCGAATCATCAGGGGTAACTCGGGTCATGGACCCAGACCCCCTCGAGTAATGAAAAAATCATGGCGGGAGGTTTTTCTGAATTTTCGGCCCCCGGGGGCCCTCACCGGGCCTCGGGAGCGTCAAAAAACGACCCAGGATGCAAAGCCGGTCATGGGGAAGGGGTCGGGACCTCTGGGGGTCGACGTAATGAAAAAATCATTACGTCGGGGGTCAGGGCTAACTCGGGTTCGTTTCTCGGGACTCCGGACCCGAGTTACCCCGGACCCGAGTTACCCCGGATAACTCGGGCGTCCAGAGCCCCGAATCATCAGGGGTAACTCGGGTCAGGGATAACTCGGGTTCGTTTCTCGGGACTCCGAACCCGAGTTACCTCGGACCCGAGTTACCCCGGATAACTCGGGCGTCCAGAGCCCCGAATCATCAGGGGTAACTCGGGTCAGGGCTAACTCGGGTTCCTTTTCCGGGAATCCAAACCCGAGTTACCCCGGACCCGAGTTACCCCGGATAATTCGGGCGCCCAAGGGTAACCTCGGGGAGCCCGCGGGGGAGGGCGGCGGCAGCGGCTCGTCCGAAGCAGTGTGTGGCTGGATATGGCCTCCTTCCCAGACCCCCGACGTCATGATTTTTCCATGACGTCGACCCCCCGAGGTCTCGACCCATTCCCCAGGATCGGTTCTTCGTCCTGAGTCGTTTTTTGACGGTCCCGAGGGCCGGCAAGGGCCCCCAAAGGCCGAAAATTAAGAAAACCCTCCCGTCGTGATTTCTCCATAACTCGAGGGGGTCTGGGTTCAGATGTCCCCTGCGGCGAGCACCTCTTCGGCTTGCTCGAGCGCAGGCCGCCACACCCACCGGCGCACTGGCGAGGCCTGGGCTCTGCGGGGGGGTCGGCGGCGGGAGCATTTCAGGCGGGGAAAAAACACAGACACAATTCATCGTCGATCCCCAGGGAAATATGGGGAAATATGGGAAGTGGGGGGGAAGACAAAAACCCAGAAAACATGGGGAAATATTGGGAATCCGGCTATTCGTGTGTATTTACTTGTGTGTCCCAGGGCCCCTTCAGCCTTGGCGCCTGCGTGGGGCTCCCGGACGGCGGCCCAACACCACAAGCTCTTCCGTGGCGAGCGGAAGAGCTTGTCACGGAAGAGCTTGTCACGAGGCAGCTCGTATCGCGAGGCAGCTCGCATGCTGGTGCGAAGCTCATGGTTTGTCCTCACAGATGCTGGAAAAAAAAGCTCTTCCGTGACGAGCATGACTCGAGCTGTGTCCAGCCTGCGGTGTCCTGAGCGGCTGCCCCCAAAGGCCATCCGCGCGCGCACAGTTCCAGGGGTCCCACAGGCTCTCCCTGCAGCCCTCCGAGACGCTCAGGGCATCGCAGCCGCTGAGCTGGATGGAACCGACGGCATCCTGCGACCATGGCATCCACCGCGGAGCTCACGAGAGGTTTTTGGGCGTTTTTGGCACGTTCTGGGCTTCCGGGGACTTCCAGAGGCTTCCAGCGGCTTCCCCCCCCTGGATTTTCAGGGACCCTTCCCAGCAGGCGTCCAGAGCGACAGGCTTACTGAGGGCTCGGCCAGCAGTGGGGGCAGTCGGCAGGGTTGTGGCCCTGGGTCACTCGCAACGGCGTGATAGTAATCGCGGTTAGCGGTCTGGTCTGCGGAGTTGCCCTTCATATAAACACGCCTTGCGTCGCGCGAAAAGTGGAGTCAGGTTACCAACGCGGCCGACCAAAAGCCTTAGCCCATATGTTTCGGAATGGTGGCCAAGTCGTCACTGGCTAGGTCCCCCCTCCCCGTGTCACTTCGCTGCAGTTGGTCATAGAGATTTCTGGCGAGCTCAAGTGGGTAGCGCCGACCTCGCTGCGACAGCGGGACGCGTGCATACGCATGCGCACGTGCTGTGAGGCAGTGATGGTGTCAGCTGGGTCCATCAGGGTTCGGCCTGGCGGAGCGATCGTCCAGCAGAAGGGATACAGTGGTGGCATTGCAGTGGTCGCTTTCGTACTGTGCCGTCGCGGTTTTGTAAGCACTGGAAGCTGGGGCGGGCTGGAATGTTGGACCTTCCCGCGGACCTGGAAGCAGATGCCGTCGCGGTTTCGTAAGCGCGGTGAAACGAGGGGCGGGCTGGAACCCAGACCGGCGTAAAGAGAGATCACGGGTGGACAAGGGATCTTCCGAGGGGAGAGGCCTTGGAGCATCTCCATCGTATTTTGTCTTGTGCGGCGCGGTGGATGGCCCGCGATTTCCCTGGCGACAGGTCACCCATCGGCCACGAGACACAGTCTCCTTATCCAGCGCCCCCGGCTCCCGCGCGGCCG